TTTTCCCCTACCACTTGTTCAGGACGTCTAATAGAACATTAAAACATTTTAATTCGAAACAATAGAACATTTTAATTCGTATCAGTTGCAATAAAGACATTATAAGTATAATTGTTTGTCAAACCGTTATTCGATTTAGGAAACAAATGTTTTTACTGTGTTTGTGAAGGTTCATTGTTTATTTATTGGTAATTTTGTTGTGTGTTTGTTTGCATTCAGATGCTGTTTTGTTCCGGAATAATGTGTTCGGTGACTTTCATTTGTTTTCGTCAAAGCGGCGTTTTATTGTGAGTATTTTTTTTAAGGTTGTCCGAAGTTATGGACATTTATTGACGTTTATAATTATGGGACTAATCATCTATTATTATACATTTTGTTCTGTGTTTGTCTATTCTTAAGGCAGAATAGAATTTTATTGTCTTTTCAAAAGATCGATATACCCAACTAAATGCAATTATTACGAAGGACTTGAACTATCAAAGTTTTAATATTTATTTTTTCAATTACTAGGTAGGTATTATATTTTTGTTAATTATACGGACAGTTACCAAAACGTCCATTAAGGTTTAATGACGCCTTTAAGCTCTAATGAATGTCAAATTTGTATGGGTAATGTCGTTTTAAACTAATGAGAATTTTAATGGATGTTTGTGCAACTGGCTAGTAGAGTATTTATGTAAAAAATATTTTTCGAGTTGTGGTAAATTTCAATGGCATATAATATATGTTGTCAAATTGACATATGAATGATTGACACTCATTATTTAAAAAAAAGACACAGGAATTAAGCCCACTCAGCCGTACCATATATATTTAATTAATTACTCTGTCGGGAGGGCGTTAGATAGAGAGAACGGAACGCCACAATGTGCTTTACATGCATCTTTCGCTTCATCCATTTTTAGTATTCTCTTCATACATACTCGCCGGCTTTTACGGCTTATTTTATATCTATTTAAATATCTATGCTCTGTGATGTCATGACTGGATTCAGCAGAATCAGCCGAATTCAGTTATTGGTATCATATAGCACACACAATCATCATCATAAGCCCTTTTACGCCCACACTGCAGGGGATCAGGCCTTCCTTATGGAGGATAGCATGCAATACTTCTATGATTTTGCTCAACATTTCGATTACTATTTGAATGAATATATATATGAGCTGAGTGTGTTATGTGGTTACTACATAAAATATTTTTTCTTTCTTTCAAATCATAATATATCAACGAAATGAAAAGTGTTGAGAATAATTAAAACATACATCAATTACGAATATCCCGTTTTGTGACTTGTGAATGTTAAATAAAGCAAATTTCGTGAACAGGAAAAATAATGTATTTTGTCAACTAAGATGGATCGTGAAAAATAACGTGGATCCAAATTAGCTCACATACAATCCAGATTTAAAATCAAAATGAAATATCACTGTGATATTTAAATGAAAGAACAACACAAACTAACTCTACAAACTGATCCCCTACGGAATCGGAATATCAGTCTACCTCATAATTAATTAAAACACCACATAACTATATCTATATAGAATTTAACATAAAGAAACATCGCGCCTAATTACTTATATCTCAACACCACAACAAAGGGGGCAGGCGCCTGCCCTGACAAAGAGTCGACAGCTATTGCATCTCCCTCTAGCGTAGTATTTACAGAGTGGGAGGTCAGAGGTCTAGCTAGTTAGTCTCTCGCAGAATGCTTTTCAGCCCCAATGGCGACAATGCGAGGCCTGCCACAATATCTCCTGGCTTAATGCCTATTCGTCCCATCTTCCTATTTTAATTTACTCAAATTTCCCTTGACAGTTATGCCAACATACCATTATATTTGCGTTCTTATGGCCCGGCTTCATGATATTAGGTTAAATTAAATAACTTGTCTAAAAAAAAGTGTTTTGACACCTGAAAATATGTAGTTAGTTCCATTAAGAACTGAACCTTTTATTTATTAATTAGTTATCTACTCAAATAATTTAATTTAATTTATGTAAAGGGTAATATTAAACAGCACTTTGACTTTTATGCCTTGAAATGTATTAGTAAAAAACTATTGATGAATATTTTATATCATAAATATGGTCTTACAAAAGCTCTTATTTTGTATCAAGATCAATACAAAATATAGGTTTAATACGATCGTTATTGCCAGACCTTTGCTACTAGCTCGAAAGTTTCTAGCTTTGGGTTTAATACTCTTAACTAAGGCTTCCGGGATAGAGTCTTATTATATGTACCGTTTGTATAGACATTTGTGATAATTCTTTGTTCTAAGTTTTTGTCAATGCTATTAATTGCCTGTTTATTCGTCTCATATTATAGGATCATTCATGTCTTCTGTCGTCTGGTATAATACTATAATAGATTTCACATTTTGTACTTCATTCTTTTTTATTTATATTCATCCAGCCTCAATTATGAATACTTTAACTTCAGATATAGGTAACTATCTCGTTAACGCCCCGTGGTGGCACCTGCTCCATGCTCTATATATGAGGAGTGTATTATTTTCAGCAAGAATGCACCGAGTTAATGGCAGTCACGATAATGCGCCATTGTGCAACCCGCCACCAGCCACCTAGCGGAGCAATCCGGTGATGCGTATGTATTGAACTTACGTTTTTTTATACTTTTTTACGGTTTAATAAACTAATGAGAAGCAAATGAAAAGTATTTTTTTTTCGGTCTCCATAATTACTTATTGAGACGTACGGTAAAAGATGCATTTATTGGAATATGGAATATGGTTCTACCGTGTAACTGATTAATGTGTCAAAATGTAGCCCTGAATGATCTGGCAATAGCATGGTGATAGATCAAGTGTAACAGGATCGTTCCAGGATATTAAAGGCCGATCATAATTGATCTGCTGATAAGTGACACAGCTCTAGACACGTTGTATTTTGTAAAGCAATATAAATATTTTCGAATTATATTATTAACTATTCATTCATAACAAAAATATAATTTTAATATAATAAAATGCGTTGAGGAGCTCGATTACGCAGTGGCTAGCGCGCTCGGTCTGCGATATAGTTGTTAAGCAACTTTCACAATGGCAGGTCTTAGGATGGGTGACCAAAAATTTATTATCTAGAAATTCTCTATGCTTCGGAAGGCACGTTCAAGCCGTTGATCCCGGCTAAATCTGAAGTCGTTAATATACACCTATCCGTACTGAGCTTAATCTTAATAAGTGATGATGATGCATCTAAAATACATTACTCGTAGCATAAACTTATAGCAAATGTCTTTTTTTCCTAAACATGTAAAAATAACATCGTTTCAGTTCCGTGACATTAAGTTTAGTTCAATGTAGGAAAATCATTGTTAAATTGACCCGATCGCAAATCGAACCCGGGTTCACAGACATGGCAAAACCTAGAAACCAACCTATGAACCACTGGCTCATGACTTCAGATTTAAAGTAATATCTACCTAGTGATTTGAATGTACATAATAATAGTATTTATAGTTTAATATAGAAATATTAATTAAGCTATTTATTCGAAATTTTATTTATTGCTATATTTATTACCTGGTGTTACAGAAAGATTCTTCACTCTATATGAGACTGCGAAGAGAAGTTTGTTGTTATCGTTAATAGATGGCGTTACGAGTACTTGAACGTTAGTTAGGAAATGTTCACAAGAAGACTTTTAATTTTGAAACCAACAAATTTATTACATTATTAATTATCTCAAAATGTATGATTTGTTTATTTTCTAAGTAATTAGTGTTTAAAAGTATTAATAACACTGCACATAATAACTATATGCTTACTTATGAATTGTAAGTACAATTTTTGATAGAGAGAGGTTTAATAAAATTTTGTAGTTATAATATTGACATATTGAATTTGAAAACAATAATATTTATTTATTTAATTGCTACCTTAATACCTATAAAAAAACTACAAAAGATAAAAATTAAAATAGCGTTATCAATGCTTAATTTAAAATAAAAAATTTATTAGAATTACAATCTACATTCGGAAATAAATAATTGCATAAAATTTACAACTAATAAACTGCCCGAGTAGAAAACAAGACAAATTTTATTATTCTCTGTTTTTGTACAAAAGTTATAACTTAAAGTGAGTAATATCTAACTATTATGAAAAATAAAGGAATAATTATTTTACAAGCCGCTGTAACATTTTCTAAGAAGACGCATTTCTAAAATGCACTGAGACAATATGGATTTTATATATCCACGATTTTCGACTTTACTGGCAAGGTGTGAAAGAATGTTATTGTTTGTTTCGATAATGGTGGTTTTATGGGGATAAATGCGGGTTTTATGGCTACAACTAATGCGTCACGGTGTCGTCCCGTTACGAGAGTGCATTGTCTTAATACCCGCAAACTATTTATAACAATAGACACAGAACAAAAGGATAATAATAGCTTTTATTCTGTTTTAGAGGCAATTTTATTGTCCGTTTTCTTGAAACTAACATTTCTGTCATTATAAAATGTTAAGGGAAATACCATGTAATTTGACATTTATTATTTAGATATGAGACAGTGTAATTACATTATTTATAATAGGGACCTTTAATGTTTATAGAGCTTTCTCTAACCTGAAAAAGTTTAATTTTATGTTGTGAAATAATTTTCTTATCAAACTTTTTAGATGATATTTTGTCTCTTTACAATAATATTAAAAGTTTCGAAAATAAAATTTACAAAAATTGAGGCAATATTATAAATGTGTAGTTGGTTTATTACAATAGTTACATTACGCATAGTGTCGGGTACGCGGTGTGCTCAAACAGCTGTAGCGGTGCCATACGGCGAGGAGCGGCGGGGTGACCGTACCAAGGGAGACAGACGAACAGAACATGGGCAAGATCGAAAGAGACAGAGCTACATGTAAAGGAGGGGCGCAGGCTCTACACGCCTCACTCCTATTGGTGGGCGCACGCCGCCCCAAGCCGCGCCCCCCGCGCGTTGTGGCCCACACGATCACCATTCTGACTCGTCAGTCTATCGCTCGACTTCGACGCGACATAATCATTTCTTCGTCTGTGCTCATTCACCGCATTGTGCCATATTACACCACAGAGCTAATGCTCTAATAGACATTTTTGACAGTTAGTTTACTTTCAATACGATCGCTATGTCGACCTTAAGTCATCACCCGTACGCGTTTTCGATGCATCCGGGGATGCTCCCGGAGTATCCGAGCGCGCCGCAGCCGCTGCCGGCGTCTTCACCCCAGTCCGAAGGTCACATCAAGAGGCCGATGAACGCTTTCATGGTGTGGTCGAGACTGCAGAGGCGCCAGATCGCAAAGGACAACCCGAAGATGCACAATTCCGAAATTTCTAAAAGACTCGGAGCCGAATGGAAGTTGTTGTCGGAGATGCAGAAACGTCCATTTATCGACGAAGCAAAGCGTTTGAGAGCTTTACATATGAAAGAGCACCCTGATTATAAGTACAGACCGCGTAGGAAGCCGAAACCGCCTACGCCAGGTGGCGCTCCCGGCGCAGGAGCCTTTCCTAGCTTCCCGCTACCTTACTTCGCAGGACCGGCTCCCGCTTGCAGCCCCCTAGATGGATTACCATACCCTGCTGTACCGCCGTACTTCCCGCATCAGTTGGACCACCTGCAGTTTTCAAAGTTAATGGCGCCGACGGCTGAGAAGTTGCCGACGGTGTCGTCATCCGCTGCCGCTGTAGTGTCCTCATTCTACTCATCCCTGTATACGTCACCGGCGGCACCTCCGAAGCCGTTTTCATCGCCGCTGTTCCACCAGTACGGCGCGGCTCCCTCATCACCACTGTCGCCGGCGACACCCACGCAGCATAGCCCACACGACGATCAGTTGCGGCGGCCGGTATCCGTTATATATTGAAGACCAACTTGCCTTCCTTGAAGGACACCAATCTTTTGAGGTTCGGCATTTTGGAAGTTGAAAGTGTTACAGACTGTGAATTATACGAACTTTATTTATTGATTATTAGAGATATAGTTGGATATTGTAAAACGGAGTGCGTCTCATATCAAGTGGCCTGTACATAGTTTCGAGAATAGGCCTTAGGGCGGCGTATCATTGAGTTTAAACTGTGATTATTGTTTTCGATGCATCATTAACATATTTAAGGTAATGTAGCGCCGGTTCGTTAGTTATATAAAGTGAGATTGGTACCAAAAAGAGATTATTTTCTATATGTGTCAAAACATTTAGATGGGTAGTTATGAGATGACTTATGATGTGACTATGGTTTTTGTTACTCTTGTCACTGGATTCAGTTTGTTGAGTTTTATCGTTTCTTTGTCTCGGCTCTGTCGAGGTCTCGCTTGGTATAATTATAGCGGTATAATTTATTTATTGACTCCTGTGTAGATGTACCTTACTATTTGTAAATTAGTTATTTAAATTGTAAGTTTATTAGTGTATTCAAATGTATATATTAGTATTTAATTCAGAATCGATGTGAGTACCAACGATGTATTATAATAGTATTTGAAATGAACCTTTGTTAATGCCATAAAAATAAACACAAAATTGTTTTTATTTAAATATTGCTTTTCTTTTGGGTTGACCTTAATTTCCGAGCGAACATATAATTAAGATGAGAAAAGCCTAAATATTTAGGTATTTAATGATTCACTTTCTGTTTAATAATTGCTTTTCAAACACACACCTTTTTAAAGCAGGCGCTTAGTAAAATAAATGAAATACTTTCCGCATTTCAGTTAATTAATGCTGTTGGTAATATTTTGATTATTACTAAATTATTTTTTATTCATATTATTAATGAAAAAAGAAATCTGTCACAAGATAACATCCGGAACTTTTGATAGATACACAGGAAGGTAAATACACAAAATTATAGTTAAAATCTATAACTAATTTGCAACTTGCAAATTCCTTCGTCAATTGAATGATATTATGGAAAAACATTTAATTTCAAGGCAATACTTACAAATTCTTTTAGATCTGCAGAGTTTACTAATGAGTGGCGCTTAAGGGGAAAAGGGTTTTAAAATGGTAAATCAGTCCAAGGTGAATTTGGATGATGGTTGAAAAAAAATCTCTTATTGTTCTTTTATACCTACTAATATTATTAAGAGATTGTTTGTTTGCGTCGAACAGGCTAAGAAACTACTGTGCCGATTTAAAATATTATTTCACCTAAGAGCTACTAGGTACTACGGGGCGGGAAAATAGTAGAATATATATTGAAACAAGAATATAATTATTATTTATAACTTTATACGAAATGGAGATTTATTTTGAACTTACAGATCTCACTTTGAGTAAATATTGCTCTGATTCGGAGTCTTTAATATTTTTAGATGTATTTTGTTTTTTTTTTGTCCAAAACATAAATTGCTATATAGTTAATGTTAGGTAAGTTACGTTTATGTTTAGTTTTCCTGTCATTATATTTTTGTTTGTTTCTTTAACTTATAAAATGGAAAATTATGATTATTTGTTTGTTTGTTTGTTTGAATTGAACAGGGTGCGAAACTACTGTATTGATTTTAAAAAGGCTTTCACTTACGGAAAGCTACTTCGTACACGGATGATGTAGGCTATAATATTCGTGAGCGAAGTTGTAAGGGAATGGCCAGTAATAGACAAACTCAAACACAACTGCACTAATTTAGAAAATTCTTTCATAAATATTGGTAATACAACTATATTAAGATAATATACATTGTTGTATCATTTTTTTTTGTTGAATTTAGCAGGAAATGCATAAAATAGGTCAAATTCAAATGCATCTCGTAAACAACCAAAGATCAAAAAATAATATTATATTGCAGGTTGTATTTGGTACAAATATAAACTCCTTAGGTTTATTTCACAATAAAACGGTAGTTTCTAACTTACCCTGTGATCATCATCACAAACATATTAGCCCACTGAAGGAGCACAGACCTTCGCTATGGGCCAAGACCCAGCACTGGACCAGGGTGGATTGATGGTTGTAAAAGAATGCAGTTGGAACTGCTGAAATAAATCTTTGAACCTCCAACTTATGAGCGGCCCTTGCAAAAGTTGCTTACGTATTTTCAATAAATTAGTTGAAATATGAAAACTGAAGATGCCAGAATAATTAAAGATGGCGCTATCAAACTTTTAAAACACATCATCTATACTGATATTATAAAAAAGGAAAAGACTTGATTGTTTGTTTGTTTGAAAAAATTGAATTGCCTCCGGAACTCCGACCGATATGAAAAAGTCTCACTAATACCCGTAAGGCTATAATTTGCGTGTGCGAAGACGCAAAAAAAAACAGAAACCGGCAAATAAAGGGTATTTCTTCAAGTATTTTTTAAGATGAATATGCTATTTTAAGTATTGTAAATGCATAATTTACAATACCCATAAAATTAAAATTTATTAATAAAATTATTATAAATTCTAAAATATGTAATAATCACATTTTTATTAAAAATACTTTATAAGTAAATTATATAAAGATCTTTAAATAATTTTATTAATAGCTAGTAGCAATCCATCATTTCCATAAAGAGATATACTATTATCAAACATTTATTTAAAAGATCTGGTTTATTCCTATGTCACATCACCAGCCCTTTTACGTCCCCACTGCAGGGGCTCAGGCATTCCTTATGGATGGTTAAGGAGGATGGGCCATGACCCTCCACGCTGGTACAATGCGGATTGGAGGGTATTAACGACTGCAAATGCAGCCGGGACCAACGGCTTAACGTGCCTTCCGAAGCACGGAGTAGCTCGAGATAATAATTTTTTGGTCACCCATCCCGTGACCGACCCTTGCGAAAGTTGCTTTACGACTACGATCGCGGGCCGCGGCGCTTATCCACTACGCCACCGAGCTACTAATTCTACTATTCCTATTCTATTCCTATTCCTATGTACATAATACATATTTTAGGTAGGTGCTTATATATAAGGCTCGATATTGTATAGATTAGCGGGGCGAGTCGACGCCGCTGGTTCTGTCAACCGTGACGATTGTTAGCACCGAACACGGTTTTTGGTTTAATAATCACGGTCGCTCTCATCGGGGGCGTTTTTCAATACAATTGTTTTATTTCATCCCGTTCTTTGCGTTTCAGTTAGGGCCACGAAACCGGCAGGCGATACAGCTTATTTGCGAGAAGCGACACGATTTGAAACGAAGTATTTTATATATTGACATTTATATATATCATCATGAATAATTATACTTTTAGTTTATAATGAGAAAAATATATAGTTAAGTGTCTATTTACCTTTTTTTTTACTGTGAACAAATACCTATATGAATTGTGTAATCATTTTTGTACCTACATGTTCGAAAAAGGTATGTGTCTTTAATTTCCCAACTTTTATAATTCTATCCATACAATATCTCTAGTATATAATTTTCAAATAGTACTTATATCTAAAAACGTATTAAGAAGTGTAATTTAAAATTATTGTTATTAAAAACAAATTAAATACAAAAAAAAACAGCGATGCTAATAATAGATTTTTTTTATAATAAAAGAGATGGTTCGTAAACCGCTCGTTCTATGGCCAAATATACGAAGAAATCTAAGAGTTTTGAATTAATCATTAGTCCGTTGGGTCATTGTTTTGAGTTGCGATCTATAAGGGATTCGGTAGCTATTGTTCAATTTATGAAGTGGATTTATCTGCTCGAAAGTAAATTAATTTGTCAATTCATTCAAACGTAAACTTTGGGCGCCGAAGAGCTAACTTTATAATGATATTTTGCCAAGCTATACTTAAATCCCATTTGTACTATTATAAAACTTTATGTAAATATAAGTATTTATATATCTTCTAAGAATTCGAGTTGAATTATAAAATTCCACTTCATTAAATAAACAGAGAGAAATAAACAGGTATTTCAATAAAAAAAAAATATTAATTCCCGAAAGACAGTCTTATACGCAATGGTTTATTATTTTATCAACAGTTGTTTATCTATAAAACAAAGTATTTATGAATTCCCGAAAGTAATAAAGTACCAATTTAATGAAAATTCTTGTTACTATACAAATGATTGAACATAGAACGGGCATGAATTAAACTCCAGTGTTGCTAGTACAGTCGGGTATTTTTCTTTCGAATCGAGTGTGCCCTATTTTCCCATTCGGAGCGTTCGCATTGTAGTGAAAATATATTTTGTATGGAGCCGGCATTACAATGAGAAGTCCGTGTTATTTATTTAGATGTATTTCATTGTGCGGGTCTCGAGTTCGATTCCGGGCCGTACGGCCAGACGGGAGGCAATCGAGTCAGGACCACTATACTTGTGTAGGTAACGGATTGGCAAATAATTGAAATCCAGACCCAACCTATTATTAGAAACGTCTATCGAAAAATATCCATCCGAGCACATTATAAACATGGGTTTCCGAATAGAATTCAAGTTACTTGCACAAATTGAAGAGTGTAATAGCGTCCAAGAGCAAAAGGTGTATTCTATTTTATAGACACAATAAAATTACTTATCTCTATTATTAATTGAACATAAAAACTATGAAAGGAAAAGCAAAATAGGCATCGCATAAAACGTAGACTGCCAAAGCGACGTTTAAACAATGGCACGGAACAAAAGTGTTATTACCAACAGATTCGGTGTTGCTAGCGAACAAAACGGCCGCGATAAAGGTATTTCTAGACATTGGATCGTGATTCGAAATTTCTTGTTTCGATAGTTCGAAGTTTGAAAGTGATAAATGATACTTGAATAACGGACAACGGCGGTGTCAAGATTAATTAAAGCCAAACTGTTGCTTAAATAGTTAGTTAAGCAACTAAAAAGTAGCCTTTTGTGTGCCGCCTTGGTGTAGATGAACCACCTTGAAGTATTTGTGGGTCGGGTTAACCTTGTGATTTTGTATTTGTTTAGGTCGATTATGATTGTTGTTGTTATGAAACCTGTAATAATGCAGCAGATCAGAGATCAGCAACCTGTGGCTCTAGCATAAGTATTTTTTTTTATAAAAGCCTTAAAAATCATGTAATCAATTCAAGGTTTACGTACTACTACTAAGTGATAAACCAGATTTTACATAACTTTCAAAAGTCAATTTTTATCTAATATGTGATTTCCCTAAAGTACTTTATTTTTAAATAAAAATGACGTTATTAAAAACCATGTTGTTGGAAGTTTGAAACATATTCAGAAGCTCTTTAAAATTTGGGAAGAATTCCTTTTATTTCAAAATGTTGCCGACCCATGCAGCAGATTATTTCAATCATTTAATACATTTGTTATTAAAATTCTATAAAACTTACTTCGATGCATTCATTGGGTGAAATCGAATCATACGAGTAGTTAATTAATATTTAGCGTGTAATTACCTTGACTTTTTTTTATAAATGACGGAGTATATATAATTTTACAAACATGCCAAGGTAGGCAGGTTACGAAAGTAGGTAGAATCTATTTGAAAATTTTTGAAAATTGTATTTTTTATCAATGTGCCTAATAACAGCATCGATCCACGTTAATTATAATTTGATCCGTGATAATTAGTTTTAGCAGTATTAAATTTAATTAGTTTCATAGGTTTCT